CCTCCCGGGCCCTTTTCCCCTGGAATTGCCGGGTTAAAGCTGCTCCTGTGGGATCCTCGGGAGCGTTTACCTGGATGTGAGGCTCCTTCCCAGCTCCAGGCCTGGAATTCCTCGTGCCCCTGGGGCCTTTAGGAATGTTCTGGCTCAGCCCTGGGGTGTGTGGGAGCAACTCGTGTCCTTCGGGGGGGTGAAAAGCTCGGGAAGGCAGCACTTGGATTGTTTGCCCTCTGTGTCAGTGTCAGGGACAGGGAAGTGCTTGGAATCCCGGGGAATCCGGCCTGAGGGAGCTCTGGGATTCGGGATTGCTTCGTGTTTGCCCTGACAAGGCGTTTTGTGGGTTGGAAAGGCCAGGAAAGGGGGAATTCTGCCCAGCTGGGGTGAGACACACACCCCCTCCCCTGCAGCTCTGGGGTCTGACATTCCTGAAGGACCCCAGAGAGTCCAGAAGGGACACGGAGATGATGCCAGGGCTGGAGTCAGGCTGGGAGAGCTGGGAATGTTCACCTGGAGAAGGGAAGGATCCAGGGAGAGCTTGGAGCCCCTTCCAGAGCCTGAAGGGGCTCCAGGAGAGCTGGAGAGGGACTGGGGCCAAGGGCTGGAGGGACAGCACACAGGGAATGGCTTCCCAGGGTTAGGTGGGATATTGGGAAGGAATTCCTGTCTGGGAGGGTGGGGAGGGTCTGGGCTGGAATTCCCAGTGAAGCTGTGGCTGCCTCATCCCTGGAAGTGTCCTGGGCCAGGTTGGATCAGCCTGGGATAGTGGGAGGTGTCCCTGCCCATGGCAGGGGGTGTTACTGGATGATCCTTTAGATCCCTTCCCACTCTAACCGTTCCACTGGATCCAGGCTGGGAGAGCTGGGAATGTTCACCTGGAGAAGGGGAAGGATCCAGGGAGACCTTGGAGCCCCTTCCAGGGCCTAAAGGGGCTCCAGGAGAGCTGGAGAGGGACTGGGGACAAGGAATGGAGGGACAGCACACAGGGAATGGCTTCCCAGGGTTAGGTGGGATATTGGGAAGGAATTCCTGGCTGGGAGGGTGGGGAGGGGCTGGGATGGAATTCCCAGAGAAGCTGTGGCTGCCTCATCCCTGGAAGTGTCCAAGGCCAGGTCGGATCACCCTGGGATGGTGGGAGGTGTCCCTGGTGGCACTGGATGATCCTGAAGGTCCCTTCCTTCCCTGGGATTCCCTGTGATTCCCTGAAATTCCACGATCCCTCTCCCCAGTTTCCCTCTCTCCCCCCTCACTCCCAGGGCAGGGGGTTCAGACAGGGGGGTCAGAC